TCTCTCTCTCTCTCTCTCTCTCTCTCTCTCTCTCTCTCTCTCTCTCTCTCTCTCTCTCTCTCTCTCTCTCTCTCTCTCTCTCTCTCTCAGCAAGCAGCACGGGTGGGCACGATCCAGTTCAGCGCCCTCTCTCTCTCTTTAAGCACGACACGGTATCTTCAAGGCGCAGCAAGCAGCATGGGCAGGCACGGCGCTGGACGCAGCAAGCAGCACGGGCAGGCGCGGGCAGTGGAAGCAACGCAACAGGGACAGCGGTAGACGCAGCAAGCAGCATGGCCACCGGCAACGCAATGGACGTGACGCGAAGCGGCGAGGCGGTCGAAGCAAGCTGACAGCAACAGCACCCGGCCGCGACGCGCTTTAAAGGGTGCCGTCTTTGAAACAGCCCGTCGCGGGAACGATTTCCCATTTTTTTTCCTTCTTCATCTGGGCGCGAACCGATTTCCTTTTTTTTTGCCTTTTTGCCCTGGGCCCACCACTCGATGTCCCTAACCCGGAGACCGGGTCTTGCGCCGGCGTCACGCGAGACCCGGCTTTTGCTTTAGTGGTATGTAGATGTAGATGTAGATGTATTGATGCTCTACTATTTGGTTTTGCCATTTCCACAATATGTAGTGTCATGTATCGGGTATGGTGTGCTTTTTAGACGTGTGTTTCAGCCTTTGGCACTCTACATTGTCTGTAGAGACTGCATGCATGATCCTGATGTTGTCAGCTTCTCGTGAGTTTGGGTTCATTACATGCTAATTGTGATGTGGGTTTGTCATCAGAGCATGCAAGCCAAGGAATTCAACAGTTCGTTCTCCTCTCCCCTTTGTGTTGTTGTCAGTTGTTCCTGCTCCTCCGCCCTACGTGTCTCGGTGGTATTGAGCAAATCTACCCGTCAGTATGGATGAAGTAATACGAGGAACGACTTGAAAGGAAGGAGGTGATTCATGTTATTGGTTTCCTTTGCCTGATGCCTGCATATATATTGCCAGCTCTGCTGATGGATATTGAACAGGTTCTGTTGACCGGTGGTCGATGTGCAGCCTCGGCTGGGTGATTTTGCCCTTCTAGTAACGTATCATGCACGACGAGGTGATAAGCACAGCGCACGGTCTACATTTGAGAGGATGCGCTCTCTTCGGATCCCACCCAATGACTTTGTGTACACAAGGTGATGCTTTTTTCTGAACTGGAGACCCACTTTCTCTGATCTGGCTTTATTGAGGGATAGCAATTGTTAATTGTATTTATTTTACTTCTTATTTATTTAATATTTTATCGTGTTTCATCTACCCATTAAACAAAAGCTAACTGGTGACGAGCACCACTCTGCACATGAAATTCCTTCACTTCGCTCGTTTATGGTTGTCTGGGAAGCTGAAAACGGACGTTTGTGCCTGTTGACCTTTCCTTCTGTGTTTGACACATGTTTTTTTTTGGAGTTGCATGTTATCATGGAAGGCATTCCTATCGTGCATTTTATTGCGGTGCAAAAGTTTGCCAGACAGGTTTTAAGCGTTTCTCAGATGTATGATATGTTCTGCGCAATTGCAGTGTTTATTGGCTGTTGGATTCGTGAAGTGTGGAGAAGGCATAATGATTGCGGAACCCAGGCTTCCGCGAAGGTGTCTTGGACCCGAATGTGACAGTTGGTCTGACAAGGCAAGTTGATTGAAAGTATTCTGGCATCGAAATGAAAAAAAGCGATTGGAGACCTGAAAAAATCAGTGCCGCAGCCGTCTGACACCTCGGGCTGGTTCCCACCTGCTTCTTGTAGTTGGGTTATTTACATTCGTGCGACACTTTATCAAGCAAAAAAAAAAAACGGAAACAATTATTGCAGGTGTTCCCGAAAATGGTGAGGACTCGGGATGGCCCTTAAAGCACCAGTACATGCGAGCTATCGGCCGTGGGGCCCTTTTGGAGGACGCCCACCGCCGACTCATTTTATCTCCCACCGCTGATTCATTTTATCTATGGCGCTTGGCCTCCTAAATTTTCGAAGAGGCTCAAAACAGCTTCTCCAGTTGCCTGGGGCCATGTACTGGTGGTTTAAGCACGGAAAAAAAAGTGCAAATGACAACAAAGTTCACATCGTTAGCCGTGGTGAGCAATCTCCATGTAAATTGTGTGAACATTGTTGGAGTTGGGGCGCATAGATTCTGAATGTGTGTGTGCAATCAGACTCTCTTCTTACTTCGCATGCATGTAAACAGATGGCAAATCACTCTGGCGTCAAGCGCCCACACAAAGCTTAGAGATATTCAAGTCGAGAGCACAGGTTGGATACAAACTCGCTTTAGGTTGACTATGGCGACCAAACGCCCAACTCTCACAGCCAACATCGCACTCAAAATGTTTACACACATACACAACTCATACTGGATCTCCCTTGATATCCCACATACCCACACATTTACTGCACACGTACACACACAAACGCTGATCGCTACTCTTCCTATCGCAGCGATGCCTCTACCATCAACTCAACTAGCAGCTATGTCCGTTCGAACTCTCCAACTGCCCACTTCACTTCGGGCTTCCTGCAGACCACCTAGCACAAGGCGCACTGGCAGCGCTTCCGCTTGGGTCACAGCAGAATGAATCCATTGCTGGACGCTGCCTCTTGATTTATACTTCTGTTGGTCGCTGGTCTGCCGCTTTCCACCAGGCCCTTGGTGCACACAGTCCCACACGGTACTTGCTTGACTGGACTAAGTGTGACTGGGACCGGTACAGCTGACTGAACGGGGTTGCACTGCCGACTCGACGCAGTTGGACTTGCGACTCGCCTACAGACCTCTAGCCTAGCAGTTTCCACCTCTACACAACTGTAACCCCTACTTGACAGATCTACAGATTGAACCCCTACAGCTACAGGGACCTACGACAAACAACAGTCGCTACTAAAACACAGCTCGCGGGCTCAAAACACACAGGGGTCTACTCGATATTGTACACGGGTGCAGGTGAGGTCTAGGGATCGAACCCTGGGATCTGCATCTGCTTCTGCAAAGGTGAAGACCGTTTCACTCCCGCCGGCCTAAATTCGAGGTCCTCCGAGAATACTTCAGTCCAAGGCAGGATCATTACCTTTCCGATCTCTCGCATAAGCTCGGACTACGTCGAGAGCTGTCTCTAGAAGTTCTGCTCTGGTGAACCAGCGGTCGTCTTCGAGTTCTTGATAAGAGAATCCGACTTTGTATTGTTTCTGTGGACGACCTCTTTTTTTTTTTTTTTTTAATTGGACATATTCATGGGGCGCAACCCGTGCTGGGAACCAGTGTCGAGTGCATCGGTTCCGCACCGCACAAGGGCGGGACCCTCCCGGCCGCGTCACGCAGGAGTTAGTCTACCTCGTCGCTAATACACATGGAGCTTCCGCAAGCCGCTCTGGCCGAGTGCGCCGACTATACCTCTCGCGAGCCCCTACGAGAGGATAGGGCCTATGCGAGGCACGACTTACCTCCACCTTGCGGGAACTGTCACCTCCCTTTGGTGGGCGTATCCTCGTCGAGCTACCAGTCCACAGTACGAAAGCTAATCAGTTGCAATCGCAAAGGTGGACCAGCCGAGGGCGTTTCTTGTTCGCTGTAGCATAGGGAGTATGCACGGTTTTTACGTCGCTATTGGACCCGCACGCGAACCGACGCCTTGGGAGGGTTGGGGTCCCAAGCGCGACTCATCGCCGGTCGACTAGGACGCATCCCACACGCCATGTGTACACCACTCTTAGAACATATGATTAGAACACACACACACACGGAACGACATAAAACGAACAACACAACAACACTCCTAGTCCCTTTTGTAGCCAACCCATAACTCTCCGATGCGGAAATCGGATAGGCGACGTGCGTGAAACTTAGTATAAAACCGTGTGGACGCAGAGTCTTCCCATATCGACTAACAATGCATGAATACGCAAACAGTCGCAATGATGGAGTATTATGTAGTGCCCATAATCAAGCGGTCCCTCGTGGATCTGAGTACCACGTATGACACTCAAGTGTCAATCTCGAAGTATCGTGAGTGTCGAGCCCTTCATGATATTGCACGACTGAGGGAACAGTCGCTCGGCCCCCGCGGCACCTTTGGACCTTAGGATGAGTGTCCCGGTGGGCAGGGCAAATAGGCTTTGCACAGGGGGTGATCCCTTCCTCATGGAGTCTAGGACCTGGGATGTCCTGGACAAGGACCTCGAATCCAGGCCCAAGACCAACATCCGACTAAAAAAATTTAAGAAGCAAAATTGTAAAGGAAGGATTGTCTTTTCCTCTCTCAATTTCAGCCGCAATTAAACCCTTAAGTGTGGGCTCTTTAGATCACACGAACACACAAACATAGGTATGTACTTATATATATAAAAGGGAATAAATATGTGACGATCACTGCTCACAATCACAGTGGGGCTTCTCTCAGCCATATATATGTTTGTGATCGCAAGCAACCAGTTCCAAAATCCGAACCACAAAACATACCTGCAATCACATCAAAGAATCAGCCAAAAGTCCGCACACTACACGGAGTCAGCTTCGTCCCTTCTTTATACTCGTACCCCTTGCTTTAGCCATGCCAGCCCTAGCCTTTGTCCAACCTTCCAAAAATAGATACTCAGTACCCTTGTTAAATGGCCATTCAATAAAAGTCCGAGTGAAAACCTTAATTAAACAATAAAATCACCAGGGCTAAAGTCCTTTAGGTTGGGTAATGAGAATGGATTGGAGTTGAGTCATAAACCGACGAATCGGCAACCGACCTGTTATCAGTGATAACAGAAAATAATTCTCTTAGGATTGAGTCGAATCTAATCCGAATCCTGAGTCAAAAGTAAAAAGAAGGCCTGTATCATAAGACAAGTCAATACCCAAGGCTCCAAGCTAAACCATCAGTTTATGGAGAACAAATCTCCATAATACATTCTTACCCAACTAGCCAATTAAGTCTAAATCTACCTCTAAGTCAGTGTTCAAAGAAAAGGTAGATTTTTGGCAGAATCTCCCCCATTCAGGGTGGCTTGCCAAAATCGCCATCTGATAATCTAACTCCTCTTAACCTGTGTAGCACGGCGAACGTGTTCGCGCCCCTTCACGTTCGCGCGAACAGCTCCCGAACATGTTCAGGCGAACATAATTTTTTCCCGTAAATTTTTTTTTTTTTTGGTTTTTGATTTTTAACTCATGATTGGCTACGAATTTGAACATGACTCCAAGGCAAAAGTTGCTTGCATTGTTATTTTACATAACATATATTTTTTCATATTTTTTTGAGAACTTTTTTTTTTTATAAATATTTTTTATGTTCACGTTCAGAGGGTTTTTGGCGCTTGTTAGCGTTCGGGCGAACATGTTCACGTTCGCCGCCGAACGCGAACACGGTGCTATGTAGCTCTAGACTAAGAAAATTTTGGCAGCGCTTCTCGTAGGAAAAGTGCCTTTTCAGAATTTATATTAGCTCGAATATAAAAACTGAAATATTCTCTAATTCTGAAAAGTCAAATTTTGTCTAACTCCTTGAATTAGTAAAAATTTGGGCAGCACTTCCTTTAGAAACGTGTTATCCCAAAATTTATACAAAGCAAGTTCTGAATCTAAAATAACTTTGACTTCTCAAGGTCCAATTTTGTCCAACTCCCTGAATTAGCAAAAATTTGGGCAGCATTCCTTTTAAAAAATGAGACTTTCCAGATTTTTACTAAGTCATATATAAAATTAAGATAAATTGAACTTTGAAAATTCGACTAACTCCTTGGATTTGCAGAATTTTCGGCAGCGCTTCCAGTAGAGAAGTAGCTTACGAAGATTTCTGCAAAGCCAAGTAAAAAAAATGATCCCAGAAAATGCGAGAATTGACCTAAGTAAAAAAAAGTTAGCTAAAAAAATGCAGAAATTGAACTAACCCCTATTGCTGTAGCCCGTGTCGAGCAACTAAAGCAATTACCTGTCAAACTGAAACTCAGACTCAGTAGTATTCTCACTCAACCACATGCAAGACCAAACCACAAAGGTAAGTACTCTCACCAACCCCAAAGTTAACATTGTCAAACAATAGTTCATAGTCTTTTAATGATTTGTCCCTTATACCCAGCTTACATAAGGCGTAAAGCTAGACCACCCAATCTTATGGGAACTTGTCTAGCTCAACCATTGAATATACACAAACACAGGGCAT